GTATCAACAAACAGAGTAGTTATCTTTTAAAATAAATGCATCAGTTGTCTTTGTTTTATTCGGATTTTTGTCGGGATATCTCACAGAATACTTTTATATTACCTGCAAAAAACAAAGCTAGGCATATGAGCTAGTGAATTCATTTCTGGTCAGTTTTGTGTTATGTTGACTTTTCCATTGTCTCTATACTATTTTAAATTGCATTCATAATGTCATGGCTTTGGAAGTCAAATATTCATTCATTCATTCATGCATTCGTTCGTTCGTTCGTTCGTTCGTTCGTTCGTTCGTTCGTTCGTTCGTTCGTTCGTTCGTTCGTTCGTTCGTTCGTTCGTTCGTTCGTTCGTTCGTTCGTTCGTTCGTTCGTTCGTTCGTTCGTTCGTTCGTTCGTTCGTTCGTTCGTTCGTTCGTTCGTTCGTTCGTTCGTTCGTTCGTTCGTTCGTTCGTTCGTTCGTTCGTTCGTTCGTTCGTTCGTTCGTTCGTTCGTTCGCTTTTCCATTGTCTCTATACTATTTTAAATTGCATTCATAATGTCATGGCTTTGGAAGTCAAATATTCATTCATTCATTCATGCATTCGTTCGTTCGTTCGTTCGTTCGTTCGTTCGTTCGTTCGTTCGTTCGTTCCGTTCGTTCGTTTGTTCGTTCGTTCATTCATTCATACATTCCTTCCTTCCTTCCTTCCCCCCTTCCTTCCTTCGATCGTTCGTTCGTGTTCGTTCATTCATTCATTCATTCGTTTGTTCGTTCATTCATTCATTCATTCATTCATTCATTCATTCATTCATTCATTCATTCATTCATTCATTCATTCATTCATTCGTTCGTTTGTTCGTTCGTTCATTCATTCATTCATTCATTCATTCATTCATTCATTCATTCATTCATTCAATCAATTCATTCATTCATTCGTTCATTCGTTCATTCCTTCCTTCATTCATTCCTTCATTCATTCATTCATTTATTTATGCATTCATGCATTTATTCATGCATTCATTCATTTATTCATGCATGCATGCATTCATTCATGCATTCGTGCATGCATTCATTCATTCATTCATTCATTTATTCATTCATTCATTCATTCATGCATGCATGGAATGAAGAAAGACTTTTTTAATGTTTTTCCTTTTTCATTACTCAGAGATCACCTCTGGTTTTTGGGGCGGTTCGTGTTGCTCAGTCTTTTTTGTTGTGTTTTGTGAACTGATATTTGTCTTTTCGTCGTTTTTCGTTTTTTTTTTGCCAAAGCATTGTCAGTTTATTTTTGCCAAGGCATTGTCAGTTTGTTTTTGCCAATTGCCAAGGCATTGTCAGTTTGTTTTTGCCAAGGCATTGTCAGTTTTTTTTCTGATCGTGAGTTTTAATATCGCTTTGGTATCTTTCGCCCATCTTTTTCAATATGTTATTCATTTTGACAGTTATTTGATGAAAGTAGATTGTGATACCAGCTTGACATTTACTCGCAAAAGAAGTGTGTAGGTTGTACCCCGAATTCGCAAATTTCTAAACCAAGTGCGGATTTTAATTAGGTCCTGCAGTGTTTTAAGTGATTAATCGCATTACGAAACCTTTTGACACGACAATTTTTTTTCAACACGAGCTGTATTTTCTTTTTTGGCTCCAAACGTAAATAGTCTATAGTTGTACAATATTATTTTTTTGATTTGTTGTTTTTTTTAATAACTTTTCGTATTATTTTCTTTTTGTTATTTGAGATGGTAGAAAGGGAAATTAATGCCACGTTTTATTCTCAATATAGTTATGATATTTAGACTACTTTAAAAACAATTTTGTCTAAAAATTTCAACTTTAGAAATGAAAATAATACTTTATAAATGATATGCATCCGAAGCACTTTTCTTGTTTTACCTTCTATATGAACGCTTAAAGCCAAAAATTTGATATATAAGTACTGAAACACGTGACGACCAAAAAGGACCAATAAAATAAAAAGCCAAATCCATCTAAGATCAACTTTGCCTGAGAGAGTAGGAATCAGAGTTTCTTAAATCTTGCAATGAAAGCGTCAGATTTAAAACTTTTTTTCTAAAAAGATTCGTGTTTGTTTATGTACTTGACATTATTTCAAATGAATTGTTTTTTCCTGGTTTTAATTTATTGTTGGTCAAAAACACGTATATAGCAATTAAGTAATTATAATACATTGATCTTAAATCCACTTCCTCCTTTTAAAATAGTCTGTACCAAGTCAGAAATGTGACTTTCGTTTTCTAATAGTTCCGCTGCGCTGACACAGGATCTATATTTCAATCAAATTGTCTCTTTTTTCTCTTGGGGGTGGGGGTGTAGCTAGCTATATAACCATGATGTCTAACCCACCATTTTTCTCAGGAAAATTCCTGTACCAAGTCAGGAATATGACAGTTGTTTTTCACTTGTTCCGTTGATTGATAGCGTTTGATTTTGTCAGTATTTATGGACTTTCCCTTTTTGAATTTACCTTGGAGCTCAATATTTTTGTTATACTTTTTTATAGAATCTATTTAGTATTTCATGTATTCTTAAGTTTAAAAAAAAGAACAGCAAAAACGCATTATCAAAAACTCCATTGTTAAAGATTGGATATTATCCAAAACTATAATATTTTTAGTTCTTGGCATCCGGGTCGTTAGTGGGTGTTTTAGTGGTTGTCCTTGTTTAAGTTTAACTGTTTATCATGTTAATACATTCGGCGGATTAAGGGGATGTTCCGTGGGTTGGAACCCCTCCCCCTCTTTTTCATTTTTTTTTTTTTTTTTTATTTTTCTTAATTGTGTGAATGTTTCATGGTGTTCCGGAGGTGGAACCCCCTTTTCAAAATGACTATATCCAAGCTTGTTTATAGCCTTTGTGTTCAATGAATTGATAAAGTTCTTGATGCTTATATGCTAGTGCCCTATAGACGCGTAAATGGCGCGATTGACAATGGGAAGTTTAAAATGTTTTCCTTTGGACTGAAATAATGCAAATATTTGTTTTAAGAATTGCTTATATCAAAATAAGTATGAATATCATGTCAAGTTTTTTCTATTATTTAAAGCGAAAAAATTGATTCACGATATCTTGACTGAATTTGCACTTTATGAAATACGTAATTTTACTTAATTTCATTTTACAAATCCATCATGCCTCAAGTTCGCCTGATTTAGTTGGTGTTGCACTGTTTAATCAGGCCCATAATGCATATGGCTATCACTATTCAAATAATTTTTCGTATTATTTTCTTTTTGTTATTTGAAATGGCAGAAAGAGAAATTAATGCCACGTTTTATTCTCAATATAGTTATGGTATTTAGACTAATTTAAAAACAATTCTGTCTAAAAATTTCAACTTTAAAAATGAAAATAATACTTTATAAATGATATGCATCCGAAGCACTTTTGTTGGTTTACCATCTATAGGAACGCTCAATGCCAAATATTTGATATATAAGTACCGAAACACGTGACGATCAAAAAGGGCCAATAAAGTAAAAAGCCAAATCCATCTAAGATCAACTTTGCCTGAGATAATAAGAATCAGAGTTTCTTAAACCTTGCAATGAAAGCGTCAGATTTAACACTTTTTTTCTAAAAACACTCGTGTTTGTTTATGTACTTGACATTATTTTCAAATGAATTGTCTTTTTATGGTTTTAATTTATTGTTTGTCAAAAAAACGTATATAACAATTAAGTAATACATTGATCGTTTAATCCACTTCCTCCTTTAAAGATAGTCTGTACCAAGTCAAAAATATGATTTTCGTTTTCTAACAGGTCCGCTGACACAGGATATTTATTTCAATCAGATTGTCTCTTAAAGTCCCTTTAGGGGGGTGTAGCTAGCTGTAAACCATGTTGTCTAACCCACCATTTTTCTTCGGAAAATGCCTGTACCAAGTCAGGAATATGGCAGTTGTTTTCCACTTGTTCCGTTGATTGATAGCGTTTGATTTTGTCAGTATTCATGGACTTCCCCATTTTGAATTTGTCTTGGAGTTCAGTATTTTTGTTATAAAATCTATTTAGTAGTTCATGTATTCTTAAGTATAAAAAGAACAACAAAAAGGCATTATAAAAAACACCATTAATTGTTAAAGATTGGATATTATCCAAAACTATATTTTTTTAGTTCTTGGCATCCGGGTCGTTAGTGTGGGTGTTTTGGCGGCTGTCCTTGTTTTAGTTTAAATGTATATCATATTAATACATTCGGCGGATTCAGGGGGTGTTCCGTGGGTTTTTTATTTTTTTTATTGTTTTATTATTTTTTTTTTTAATTATGAGAACGTTTCATAGTGTTCCGGGGGTTTGAACCCCCCTTTCAAAATGACTGGATCCAAGCTTGTTAATAGTCTTTGTGTTCAATACACTGATAAAGTACTTGATGCTTATATGCTAGTGCCCTAGACGCGTAAAGATGGGGCTATTGACAATGGGAAGTGTAAAATGTTTTCCATTTGTCTGTTATAATGCAACTATTTTTTTAAAGAATTGCTTATATCAGAATAAGTAGGAATATTATGTCAAGTTTTTCTATTATTTAAAGGGAAAAATGGATTCACGATATATTTTGACTGAATTTGCACTTTATGAATTACGTCATTTTACTGATCTTTACTTGATTTCATTTTACAAATCCATCAGGCCTCAAGTTCGCCTGAAATAGTTGGTGTTGCATTGTGTAATGTAGGCCCATAATGCATATGACTATCACTATTCTTTTATATTATTCGGCTTCCAGAATTTTTAATCTAAAGCGTCATGAAACAGATTTCCTAGAAACACGAATCGTGCTCTCTGACTTCGGTACCATATATTATAAATCAATCAAACGACACACAAAAGATAATTTGTCCTGAGCATGCGTGCTACATTTGCAAGTGGCAATTTGACTATGCATATTTAACACATTTTTTGGTCTAAACTATTCTTTATGAAAGTTGACACCAAATCTCAATTTTCGTCAAGTAAAGAGGAAGGATATATTATTGTATGTTTCTGTTTTCTTTTTCAGATGATCTTCAAGTGTGAAAGGAGGTTTCAATGACAATTGCATTGTGTACAAAACCACGAATAATTCAGTCATGGCTACTACAAAATCTCCGGAAAACACGTCCAGTATCTATAACCATGACGACTTTCTATTTATAAATCACCATGTACTTATGAACTCACTGACGCCATCACTTATTTATATGATTGTGTTGCTAATCTTTGGAATTCCTGGAAATATATCAGTACTTTATATTTACATAGTGAAATGTCGTGCGTCAACTACGCGCATTTTTATAATGGCGTTAGCGTTTCTCGATATTGTACACTGTACATTCATCATGCCAATAGAAATAGCGCTACTGGTGCATTTCGATAGCTTTGATTATCCTGTTCTTTGTAAAATTTCTCGATTCATTTCGTCAGTTATAAATAATTCGTCTGCTTTTATATTGATTGCAATTGCCATTGACAGATTCAAAAGGATATGTCGACCCCATGGACCTCTAATAGACCCAAACACTGCCAAGAAGCTTGTGATTAGTGCTCTGATATTTGCTATTATTACTTCATGGCAAATGTGTTTGCTTTACGGCACACGTACTCTTAAACATGGCAAAACCTGTTTAATTTCCGATCATATGCATGGCAAAGTTTTTCCTACTTTATATGTGTATGTACTAGTAGTTGGACAGACTATTACAGATATGTTACTCATTATATTTTACTCACTTGTTGGTCGAGAAGTTTGTATTCGTAAAGCACAGAGACGTCATAGACGAAGTCTGCGCATGAGCACGGAAATTTCACAAATCAGAAATAGTTTAGATTTTTCAGACGAAACACCGTCTCCAAATTCGACAGAACCTTCCGGTAGGTTTTCTTTCATTTTCAGAAGGGAAACATCAAACGAGTCATCATCTTCTAAAAATACTGAAATTGCTCGCTCCATATCTAGACAATCGAGAGGAAGTAGTATCAGGCGACAGGTTCTGAGTAAAACAACTATCATGATGTTTCTAGTGACCGTGACATTCATCTTATCGTTTGTACCCCATACGGTGGCAGTTATCATTCGGTATCAAGCCAAGACAATAGTTCAATCTTTAACAGTTTCAGGAATGGTGACATATCAACTTTGTCTTAGGTCGTATTTTATGAATAGTGTGCTCAACCCTTTCATCTATTGTTTTGTCAGCAAGCAATTCAGAAACCAATTTAAAGAAAGCCTCCAATGGTGCAAAAAACAAGGAAATCTTAAGCTGTAGATCGCATTACAATATATCTTTATCTAAGTGACGAACACCGTAACATTATTAATGCTAAACATTGTTTTGTGTGCATTTTGTTTCTGCTTAGGACTAGTTAAACCTCAGACGACGAAAATAAGTCAAAAATAAATACATTTATTGAATGTAAATGCTACCTTAAGAATTTTTATTGTATTTTTGTGTATGTGTCTCGTGTAATGTTCACAGATATATAAGGTATATATTAAAATCAGCAGATCTGGTATGTTTGCCAATGAGACCGTTGCAACTACTGTAAACCGACTAATTTTCGCGACTTTCGCGAGGAGAAAAAAAAACACGAATATAAATCGTCGCGAATATGTAAAACTTGGATCTTTCCTTATTAAACTACATCAAACAAATCTGAAAATCGCGAAATTAAATCGCCACGAAATGGGCTAGTAGGGGCTAAACGTGAAATAAAGTGTTCGCGAAAATAAGTTGGTTTACAGTATCCACTAGAGACCAAAAGAGGTGGGTATCAACTATGTCCTTTCTTCTAAAATAAACATTACAATTTAAAAGAAAACATACAAAAAATATAAAACCGAAAAAGAGTTTCCCAAGCACTTTAGAGAAAATTGAAAACTGAGCACATTTCTCAAACTGGATATGCTTATCCTTCCAGAGCATCTACTATCTCTGTCGTGTAAAAGTAATTTTTAAGGAGTTCGTATTTCCCATTCATATTGCTGTTTAATATATTTGCTGTTTTTAATGTATAAACCAAGATAATAAAAAATGAGAGAATCGCAAGAGCTCCAATCGGAGCACGACCAGGTGAATCGACAGACTAAGCCTCTCTTGCTATGCATGCAGCACCCACCATACAAATCAAGACTCTCCTGTTATGCATCCAGCACCCATACATTCAATTCTATGTCAGCTTGATATCCAGTGTTAAAATCTTTAATACCACACTGCTGAATAAATACCAGATAATGAAATATAATGTCAGCCCGCACACAACATCATGTTATTGCAAAAGCAATATTTGTATTATTAACATATAAGAATTAAGCTTGGGCTAAAAAACTAGAGGCTCTAAAGAGCCTAGGTTGCTCACCTGCATCTTCAGCAACGGCCACTTTTTAGTAAAAATCGTTAATAAAGGGGAACAACTCTATTAAGAGTTAACTGACAATTTCAGTCATGTTGACATATTTGTGGATCTTATCCTATATTTTTTCATGTCTTAAGTTTCAATCTATCTACTATAGTTTTAAAGATAATAGGCAAAAAATGCAAAAAAAATGTAAAAAATTATCATTAAAGAGCAACATCTTCAATAACGAATCGACTGAAGATTTTGACCATAATGGCTTATTTGAAGACCTTGTCTTGCTGATCATGTGCGCTATTAAAAGTTTCTATCTATCTATTAGAGTTTTCAAGATAAAAGGCAAAAATGGGAAAAAATGTGAAAATTGCCATTAAAGGGCTATAAGTTCAATAAGGAGTCGACTTACAATTTTTTAAATGTTTGACTTGTATGTAAATCTTGTCTTCTTGATAAAAGTTTCTATTTATCTATTATAATTTTTAAGATATGGGGCAAAATTGCAAAAATGTGGTAAAAATCGTCATTAAAGGGCAATAACTCTAGTAAGGAGTCGTATGACGATTTTGGTCATGTTTGATATTTTTTTTTTAAAATCTAATAAGTAGTCGTCTGACAGTTTTGACATAAATGGACTATAGTTAGAGCTCAGCATTTTGAACATTTTTGCTCTTGTCAGAATTTCTCTATTTATCGTGATTTTCAAAATAATACGCAAAACTTACATTTTACCCGTATGTTCTATTTTTAGTCATGTCGGCCATCTTGGATGGCATGCGGAGTCATTGGACACATTTTTAAAACTAGATACCCTAACAATGATTGTACTTACATAAGCAAGATGAAGAGTGCAACATGTGGAGCAGAATCTGCTTACCATTCCGGAGCACCTGAAATAGCCCCCAGTTTTAGAGGGTTTCCTGTTGCTTAGTCTTGAGTTTGCTATGTTGTGTTTTGTATACTGTTGTTTGTCTTTTGGTCTTTTTTTTCGGTGTTTAGCTATGACGTTGTCAATATAAAGAAGAAGATGTGGTATGAGTGCCAATGAGACAACTCTCCATCCAAGTCACAATGTATAAAAAGTAAACAATTATAGGTCAAAGTACGTCCTTCAACACGGAGCATTGGCTCACACCGAACTGCAAGCTATAAAGGGCCCCAAAATGACTGGTGTAAAACAATTCAAACAGGAAAACCAACGGTCTAATCTATATAAAAAACGAGAAACGAGAAACACTTATGAACCACACCAACAAACGACAACCACTGAACAACAGGCTCCTGACTTAGGACAGGTGCATACAAATTTAGCGGGTTTAAACATTCACCCTAACCTGAAACAGTATTGTAACATTACAACACAAAAAGACACACTATAAAATATCAATTGCTTAACTCGATCAAAAAGATATATAAACAAAAACAAGTAAACATGCACTGAACGAATAAGTTTGATCTATGACACAATATAGATACAATATTAATAAAAATGATGTAGGAACAATGTCATAAAGACAACTCTAACCTGGGACAAAATGGCTTGTTTTCAACTTATGAGTTTGGATATCCCTTCGATGTCCTCCGCCTCTTTCTTTACAACAATTTCTTTGTGCACGACATGTTTTCGATCGATTGATTAATTGTTGGTTGCTTAACGTCCAGTGGCAAATGTTTCATGCACATTCAGGATGAGAACATATTAACAAAAAATACAATAGGTAGGTCCTGCAGTAGAGGCCGGCCGGGAAGAAGGTCGAGGAAATTTAGACACCCACTGGAAAATTAGGGTATATTGGACCCCTGGATAGGGACAGAAATTTTGCCTTGCAATAGGCCACCTACGAACCCCTCAAATAGTTGTTGCAAGGGTTCTTAACGTGCAGACAGCGTGGCCCTCTTTCTACACGAGGCATCGGATTTAACTTCCCTATTCTGACCGGTGACTGCATACTTGTACATCACGCACACCCGGACGCCCCACTTTGGCAAGGGTTTTACTGCCGGTGGGAGGAAGACCTGTAGTGACCATATTTCTATTCCCCCGTCACCTTTGGGGTATAGGTATTTGGAATGATCCCCATCAGTAAGTCTTTTAAAAGATTTTGTTTTTATTGTGTTTTAACGCCACTTTTAAGCACCGCTTTTGGGCTATTTCGTGGCGGCCAGTTTTTATTGGTGGAGGAAGCCGGAGTGCCCGGAGAAAACCACCGACCTTCGATAGGAAAACTGACAATCCTAGTCAATTAAGATTGGAGTCGAGTGCACTCTTTTAAAAGAGATTATCACATGGTTTATTGAGGTGGTTTTGGCTTATTATTTTGAGATACAGGCGGAAATATTGATTGGGTCGACTTTTCATTGTATTAACTTGCATCATGTGACCGGAAGTGATATCAATACGCTTGGAAAGGCAAACTAAATATTAACCGTTTGAGAGGGAGGAAAAAAATCAAAACAAAATCAAAATCGTCGTAGATTAACTTTCCTTGTTGAAATTGCAACCTTAATTTGATTTAGAACACCTATGGTATCTAAGTTATCAAATGAAATTAAGCACGATAGCTTATGTGTACGCTCGGGAACTGCTAGTCCGTTCATATCTACCTTCTAATATTTTATTTTTTTTTATCGAGTGCTGTGTTTATACAGTTGAATGTATCTCTACGCTTGAGGTACTTTCACCTATTTATTTTCAGTTCGAGTGTCCATTGAAGAGATATCCTTCCGTCTTCCTTTGTTTGTTGCGTTGAGTATCTGTCTTATTTCCTTTTGTTCAAATATGAATGTTAACACCTTGCATTTTCGTGAATAGATTTTTGTCTTATTTCTGCATCGCAGTCTTCAGTATATTATATATGAGTGTCCGGACGGGGGTCCTTCATTTCTGTATTCTTTGATTTTTAGGCCATTTTTCTCTATTCTTTATAGATTTTGCCTGCTATTCTCTATTCTGTACATTTAGCACCCCATTATTCTCTATTCTATATTTTCGGCCTATTTTTCTCTATTCTTTATTTTTTTAGCCCTTTATTCTGCAAATTTTGCCCATTATTCTCTATTGAGTAAATCCCATCCAGACCCTTATATATAGTTGAGTGATGACATACAAGTTACTTCCGTCTTAAAACTGCATGGCAAATTTACAGTTAAAAATTTTGGAAGCAGAAAATCTACAAATGCAATTTATAAAAATTTCAAAAGAGGTAGGACCAAAATCCCTGTATTTATTTGACTCAGTGTTTAAATCGAAAAGTTTTCAAATACTACTGGAATTTTCGTTTTAAAGAACCTATATCATATATTTGAAAAAAAGTCTTTATAGTCTAATAGTATTTCGACAAAATCAAAATGTATTCAGCACTGCATGTTGCCGTTGACGCAATTTGATACAAAATATACTTATTTTTGTTAAATTTTGTATCGAAGGACGTTACTAACCAAACTGAAAACACGTGTATCAGAAAAACAATACATAGTTTTAATTCAAAGCATAATATTGGTATTGGTTCATAATGTCGCTTATTTAACTGTTTTATTAATATTCAAAACTAGCTAAAATCTGTCAGAACTGCAGTTTTGAGCTAATTTCATACTTAGGCTTTTTTTTAATAGGTTTCTGTTTGGAAATAAGCCATAACAGTTTTAGAACACCAAGTACGTATATGGAGCTGAGGAACTGGGAATTAACATAAAGATTAAAATACTTTGTTTTAAAATGGACCTGGTGTGAAATGAAATCTCGAGAAATTTGCCCTATCTCCTTTTCTAATTAAAATCATTCCTGAAAATGACAAATCACTGGAACATTCATATATATATAATATAGTACCTTTTAATGTGTTAGAATCACACATAAGATCGATTTTCATCATGAACACTAAGAACCAAAAGTTTTGGGTGCCAATAGATATACAGTATAAATACATTATAAACTCTCTTATTAAAAGGAGTCTGAATATATCTGACTGAAATCTGTACCGGTTATCTTTATTTTGAAGTTGCAAGCAACTTTATCTTTTATAAGAACTACGTACATTTAATGTTAGCTGGAAACTTGTTGGAAATATTGGCTGTCAAAAGGTCCTGTAATTTTTCTGTCGCTTTCCTCTCAGAAAATTCTAAAAATTTAGTAAATACTTCTTTATATTTAAACTTATTTTTACCTATCCAATGCGTTCTGACTTGATCTTGTCGATACGATGTAACAATAACAGTAGTTCATATCAGAGACATAAAATATAATGTATTATATATATGTATTAAAATGAGGCATGCAAATAACTATTATCGTAATATTGTATGGATAATAAATTTTGCACAAAACTTGAAGAACAGCTATAACATAAAGAAAATTTCGTTACATGAATGAATGTCGTAGGAATTTAGGGAGCTACCATTTGATTTTTTTTTTTTTGGGGGGGGGGGGGGGGGGGGTGGGGGGGGGGGGTGATGCTAGGATGAACTAAGAAAAAAAAGGCAGGACAGAATAGAGTGAAAAATAAAAAGGCAGGCCAAAATTTTCCATCCTAGCCCCCCCTCCCCCCAAAAAAAAAAATCAAATGGTAGCTCCCTTAGAACGTACCAATTCATCATGTTCATACTTGTTTTTTCGCGGGGTTTTAGTTTAGTTCAAATATATTTTATTTTTAAAAGTAGCAAAAGAGATTGGACACAAGTTTTAACAACATTAGTGACGTCCTCTCCCGTGGGGTTTTAGAGAAGGTAAACATTCAGACGAAAAAAATCGTTTCTTAACTCTGGAAGAGTTCAAAAGATGAAAAGGTGACACAATTTGCGGATAATTAAGCGTTCAACCATTTAATTTTTTGGTTATAAATAATGCCATGTTTATTTTCGTTTGAAAAGTTTCTCAGGTCCTTTGATAGCTTACTATACGGTATGGATTTTTCTCCTTTCTGGCCGTACAAATGTACGTGGTCTATTGTTACTTAAATATACGTCATTAGGACTCTTCTGCCTCTTGTGGATAGTTGTCTTGTTGGCAACCATACCACATCTCCTTATTTTATGTATATGTTTCTTTATTCTACATTGGCTAGAGGTATAGGGGAGGGTTGAGATCTCACAAAACATGTTTAATCCCGCCGCATTTTTGCGCCTGTCCCAAGTCAGGAGCGTCTGGCCTTTGTTAGTCAGTATTTTTTTTTTTAATTTTAGTTCATTTATATGTTTTGGAGTTTAGTATGACGTCCATTTTCACTGAACTAGCACACAATTTTATTTAGGGGCCAGCTGAGGACCACCTCCAGGTGCGGGATTTTCTCGCTGCATTGAAGACCCATTGGTGGCCTTCAGCTGTTGTCTGCTCTTTGGTCGGGTTGTTGTCTCTTTGACATATTCCCCATTTCCATTCTCAATCTTATATATATTTCTTATATCATGAGTATTAAATTTGCAGTAACGCTTACTATGGACGTATGTCGCACTGCATTATCATATTCCTTGCCTAAAATGAGACCTGGGGACAAAATACGTGCAAGTCGGTTATTTTAATATCTTAATATTTTCATACACGGATGTATGCATTTCACTTGATACGGTCCTCTGAGTTAAACAGTTAAACTATGATTAAACAGTTTAAATCAGTCAATCAATACAGTTCACTTCCTTTATCAAATGAGTGCAGCTTTTCAAACTTCTTTTTCATCTCAGTTTATTTTGGCACCTCCTGCAGGAATGATAAATTTCACTACCATTGAGTAATACCATTGTCCGACTTTTCTCTTGAAGAAAAATAGTAAAATTGTAGGCTTTAGTATATACCGGTATATCATGTAAATGTATATTGCACGGACCGAAAAGCACAGCATTTATTATTAAATGTTGTGAAAGATCAAACTCTGGAAGAAAAATAGTGCAAGTCCAGCATAAGTATAAACATATATACTGGCTTCAGCCATAGTTATTTTAACCATTGGTTACGATGTTTTTATTTGTAAAAGGTTGAACTGAATTAACAAAATGTAAATGTTCAAACATGAGATAAATTTACTGCTTATAGACCATTATTAACACATGACATAGGCAAATTCTCTTTTTTCTTATAGTGCTATAATCTGGATAATGTAATGCACAGTAAAGGTGTACATTAACTACCTCAGATATACTGCACTGTTCAAATGAACTCTTATCTTCAGGGGCGGATCCAGTTTTTTTTCAAAGGCATAGGGGTGTTATTCCATAAAAATAAGTTTGTCAATTTTAGGATTAAACTTAATTTATTTTCCAATCAAAAAATAAAGGGGGGGGAGAGGGGGGGGGGGGGGGGTAAGTAAACTTTTTTTAAAACATTAAATTTCACAATCTTTGTTAATGGAAAAATAAATGTTCTTAGGAAGGTATCTCTATCTTCAGAGTTTTATATGAAAATTATTTTATTTTGTCCGTCTGGCAGGTTTTAATTGACTTCGACCTCATTTTCATAGTTTATTTGACAGTTTTTAGTTGTGTGGTTGGATCAATTTCTCGAGCATTATAAGCAATAGGTCAATTATATGTAGTTTATGGAACAATTGTGAGGTGCCTGTCTGTTGGTCGGTGTTTACATGACCTTGACCTCATTTTAAAGGTTCATTGATCAATGTTAAGATTTTGTGGTTAGATCTGTTTCTCATGTTCTATAAGCAATATGACAACTATAGTTGGTTCATTGATAATGTTAAGTTTATGTGATAATTGTAGTAAATCCTCCATATTACAGACTTTCAACATGAATTCAATGATAAGTAAATCAAAGGCGAGACATGTGCACTCTTACTTTGGTTATAAAATGTTTAAAGTGTTGATTAAAGTACATGTACCTAAATTTCAATATATTTTTGTTTCAGAGTGCTTAAGGAGCATCCTTAACATTTTGAGAGAAAAATGAAGACTTTGTTGAAGGGGGAAATGTGTTTGGTACATTACTCACATGTTTGCCTGAAGAAGCTGCTGTTCCTTTGGAAACATGTCTTACTTGTTTTCTGATATGATAAATGGGGTAAGTAAACGTATTTTTAACACCAGTCATGTGTTTAAGACTTTATTAAACCTGTTTTTGTTATTTGTGTCTTCAGTTCGCTGTCACCATGACATATACCATTCATCTATTTTAAGACTCGATGATTGATTGATTGATTGGTTATGACTGGCTTAATGTCCAATGGCAAATATTTCATGCATATTCAGGAAGTTGGGAATGATACATGCCAATACTGATAATAATAAAGGAATATGCTTGTTCTTTATTCTTAAAAACAATAACAGATTAATTGATCCTGCATTAAACTTCAAATATTTCTTGTAGAGTGAGAAAATTGTTTTGAAACACCAGCAAAAAAGACTAGATTGTCATTCAGTCCTGACCCCATACAGTGTCTCTGCAGATGAAGATAGGTATGTAAGAATGAGGTTTTAATTTGATATATTTTTTACTTTTAAATTGTAAAAGTGTGATTAGTAAAAAAAATATTTCAGATTTATTGTGTATTAAAACAACATTGCAAATTGTTTGTTTTGCCTTTTTGTCTCTGTCTGTTAAACTTTAGTTTAAATTTTTTTTGGATCAACTTTTGCAACATTCAAACATATTATACATAACATAATTGAAAACTTTAAGATTTTAAGACACATTTATGAACGTTTTTCGACGATTTTAATGTGCTACCTATACATATGTTCAATTATTTTGAAAGAATTCAATCAGTTATATTTCTGAAAATAAAAGAGATAAAGGTATTATCATACCCATTTACTGTTCCCTGACCTTAACATTACTTTTAATTAATGTACATAAGGATTTGACTGCAAGGGGTTTATTACATATAACAATCAATATATTAAGCTCATATGGGGTTGCTGGATGAACAAACGGATGCAAAGACTAAAAACAATAATGCCCCACTACCAGGGTTGGACATTAGAGGGTATCTGATTGCTCAGGACAAATGAAATCAAAAAAGGGGGGATAACGCATATATATATATATATACAGCTTCAATTAGTTCTCTCTCTAGCAATTATAAAATCATCTTATCAGCCAATACTAAGAATATTATCTTGCTGTATCCAGAGGCAAGACTATAAACTACAATAAAGAGAGTGAATAATAAAATAAACAAAATAGACATCATAATTAAGATAAAAAAAGGACAGAAAGTTTTTTGACAGTTTCCTCATCATAGATTATAAATTTTGGTATGATAACTAAAAATATTAACAAAATAGCTATTTCGATATATTTATTTATATAGTATACTCAAAAGGAAAACATTTTTTTTTCATATTTGAAATTGTTGAAAATTTGTCGTTATTTCTTTCAGATCAGGCCAATCCAGAAACAAGAAAAGGGACAATTTTTAGCACGTTCATCTATGGAGACATGTATCTAAAAAAGCAGATTTTTTTTCAGTTTTAGTAGAACTTGTTGAACTTTTACTATTTTTAAACTGTTTATTTTACATTTATATGTTGATATTTTGTTTTTTAAAATTGCTGTATTTCTTTCATCTTGCTATTCAGTCCCACATAACAAAATCTGCTGAAATTATTATTTCCATATTTTATAGAAGTGTCCTTTTGCATTGTTGATAGCAGTAAATATATTTTGTCTCAAGTTAGGTTTTAAAAACATTCACATCCCAACTCCAAATAAAATACATTTTTATGAATGTTACATGTAAATAGACATGAAAGATAGAATTGTATATGGAAAAAAATGTATCACGTGAACATATTGAATATTATCAAAAGCACTGCTGACATAAAATAAATTTATTGTATGTAGTAGACAGTCCTACAGATCAGTGTATTTTTACCTGAAGACATTTTATATATTTTTATAACCAGAAATAGTGTGAGTGTAGAATAAATTTATTCTTTGTCTCAACCTTAACGTAATTACTGTACTTTCATAATAAATTTATTTTATATATTTTTATATTCATAAATTTTAAATCACTTAGAGTGTAGAATAAATTTATTCTGTGTCTCAGCCTCACCATGCAGATTTCTGTACTTTCATAATAAATTTATTTTATATATTTTTATATAAAACAAAAATCACATTGAATGTAGAATAAATTTATTCTGTGTATTAACCTCACCATACAGATAACTTTACTTTCGAAATAAATTTATTTTATATATCATTATAATCATAAATTTTAAATCACTTAGAGTGTAGAATAAATTTATTCTGTGTCTCAGCCTCACCATATAGAATACTGGACTTTCAAAATAAATTTATTTTATATATTATTATAATCATAAATCACATTGAATGTAGAATAAATTTATTCTGTATCTCAGCCTCACCATACAGATAACTTTCCTTTCAAAATACATGTAAATTTATTTTATATATTATTATAGTCATGCGTCACATTGAATGTAGAATAAACTTATTCTGTTTTAAAAATTTCTAGAACTAATAATAGGTATTAAGGCTCTATAAAATAAATTTATTTTATAAATTATCATAAATACAGAAAAGCACCATGCATTTAGAATAAATTTATTCTATGTTGCATCCTTTACAGAGAGTTGACTGAAAATGTACAGCTAAGTGTAGAATTCAGTATAAATTTATTTTGAAATGTAACAAATAAATACTTATATAAAAGAATTGTCTTCGTTTTTCATCTTTTTTACTCAAATACATGGGTTATAGAATAAATTTATTACATTCTGGTCCAAATTTAGCCCCTAATTGCACTTGTCAGAAAATAGAGGGAAAAAAGAGGAAAATTGGTTTTTTCCTTTTTTATTCTGCTCCCAGTTATGATTACCTTCAAAAAGGTTTAATTATCATGGTCCTCAAAACGAATGATTATGTTATATTCATAAAGCGTATACAAGGAAAAGAAAGATAACTCAACTGAAATTCATTGCGTTAAATTGTTACCTAACATGGCAAAAGGTACGTTGATCAAGAAAACCATTTTACGTTCATCTGCCGTATCGTTCAACCCATAACGTTTTGCCATTGATTTCAACAAGAGAGTTAAATGGAAACTATCTCACGTATATTCACAAAAAATGTTTAATATGATAGGTTCTGAAGGTGAGTCGACTGGGATAATGTCATGATATTTGGACTGCCCTGGAAAAAGAGGGTATATTTGAGGGGGAGAATTTTTTCCTTGACTCAGATCACCTAATGACGGCTCAAAAGTGTTGTTGCATATGCTCATGAACGCACGGAGAGGATGGTTCTCTGTTAATACTCGCGCGGGCGAGGCACCGCATTCAACAACTCATTCCTAACGGACGTATCTGTGTATTTATATATCCCTTACATACATACGAATGAAAACGCCAAAGCTGAAGGTTTTTCCGTTCCGCACGGAGAAGATGGTTCTCTGTTAATACTCGCGCGGGCGAGGCACCGCATTCAACAACTCATTCCTAACGGACGTGTCTGTGTATTTATATATCCCTTACATACATACGAATTAAAACGCCAAAGCTGAAGGTTTTTCCGTTCCGCACGGAGAGGATGGTTCTCTGTCAATACTCGCGCGGGCGCGGCACCGCATTCAACAACTCATTCCTAACGGACGTGTCTGTGTATTTATACATCCCATACATATACTCATAGATACCCTTTCAACAAACGTGTTACAGCCGAAAACAAATACAGACATTCCTTACAGACATACATGGTGTTGATGGCGCATCTATAGCTAGTAGCATCTGATAAATGTATTCAAAATATGTCTAGTTACGGGGCGAGTTCGAAATGTATATTCTATTTTGTTTATATTGAATACCGAGTGTTGACCTTTATATGTTTTTGTATTCTTTATTGATGAGTTGCTGGCTTGTTGATGTTTACCCCACATCTCTTTTTATTTATATGCTATATGAAAAAGTTAATACTGCTTTACTAAAATCCCAAAGGTTTTGCACATTTTCACCAAACTTCTGAATATGATTATGGTGTGTCTTTTATGACTAACAAGCTGAAGATTAATGATAAAAAAGAACCTTTTCACTTTATTTACTGCAAAATTTGATCGGTCTTAATATGGACTTAAAACAACAAAGTTACTACTAGAAACTCGTTGACGATGATAATTTCAGTTCTATTTTCCTCATTATGACGACTAGCTTCTGTCTAAACTGTATATATGACGTAATGCACCGGGTTCGCTATCAATTCATCATTTCCTGTATCGAAGATGGGAGAAAGCAAGTTTTCAGTAAACAATTTTTTTTTATTATTTTGGATATTTTTAAATATGTGTTGTTAGAATTCACTTAGTGTTCACTTTTTACAACGGTTGATATTGAATTTCATTGGTAAAATTGAGAAAAAATACTACTAGTAATACATTGCAGTTAATTTTATGAAAATCATTTTAGAAATAATTTTGTTGGTACAAGTGAGAACGAATACTACTAGTATTACCTTTTAGTTAATTATATGAAATCATGTCTGTAAAAAAATAAACATCCGTCTGTTTTCCTCTCGAAAAGAAACTGTTTTGGTCTTGGAAAAAAACATGGTTTATTTATAATATATATTGGTTGAAGCTTGGCTTTGAACTAGCTTTCAGTAAATGCCAGCACTCTAAGATTATGTTGGTACTTTGTGTATTTTGTTGTTTTGTGAGAGAACTGAAAAAGTGGGGAAGAGGTCCATGGCCCAAGCGCCTATGCACTACGATGGCCACATACAAAGAAGGAGGGGTCGATTAAGGAGATGGTCTGATTTATTCGATATATTTTATATCTTCAACATAGACCATCACTTAAAAAATTATCTTAACTTTTTTCCACCTACATTGAGACTACATACATCAGAAAGTAAAAAAGGTCATTACTGATTAATCTTACACATTCTAGTTATTATCAATCTTGTTCATCTACAAATTCAGATCCTGTGCCCACGATTCGGTTACAATAATTTTAAGAAAAGCGTGCACGGACACTTGATCTGCATTTTAATCAGATTGAGTAATTATCATATAATCTCACAATACTGTATCCAAAAACAAAGTTAATGACGCACACTTTAATTCAAGACCACTTTATGCAAATGTCTGCAACTGAAACAAAAACTTTCAGCCTTTCTCTTTTCAATATTTTCTAATTTATTTTTTTTTGGGGGGGGGGGGGCTCCTTGGCCGAGTGGCCGAGTGGTCTAAGTAGTCGAACTACTGTATCACTAGCCAGTCAACACGTAGGTTCTGAGTTCGAATCCCGCACGGGGAAGGTGCACTCGACTCCAATCCTAATTGACTAGGATTGTCAGTGTTCCTACCGAAGGTCGGTGGTTCTCTCGGAGCACTCCAGCTTACTACACCAATAAAAACTGAGCGCCACGAAATAGCACAATTGTGTTGAAAGTGGCGTTAAACACCAATCAATCTATCTTTTTTTAACACAAAATGTAAATGTTTCATACGAATAATGAGCAACATAAATTGTGCTATTCAATTAAAACAACAACATTTGTTTCTCGACATTTAGGTTTTCTGCTGTAACGTCTTCAGTTTGGGACTTTTTTTATTTCTACTTATAAAATAATTGGTAAAATTACAAGCTATTTCTTTATATGTTTTGCTCATTTTTCTCTATTCTTTAGTTTTAGACATGTTATTCTCTATTCTATACACCCAATCATTACTGTCCCTCTACTTAGAGCGCTGTTGCAAGGTGCTTTGTTTTCCTTACATCGTATTTCAAACGAACGCTTTCTGCTTTTTCATGAATGCATTTTTACCATTGCAAGAAAGGCATCTGGAAAATTGACAACTTAATCAGAAAGATAAAAAATTAATTTGATTTTCGTTTTTTTCACCCCTTTTGACTATCAGTACCACTATGGTCGTTAAGGAATTATATTTAAACCCAGAGGTAATAACTTCGTACTTTATTTGCCCTTCTTAACTTTTTGTTTATTCGAGCGTAACTGGTGAGTCTTTTGTAGACGAAACGCGCGTCTGGCTTTCAAAATTTTAATCCTGGTAACTAGATTCAGATTCAGATTCAATATTTCATTATATTAGTCTCACCACATAAAAACATACAATAAGATTCACAGAATAACACATAAAACAGTTAAAACATTTGCAATATATGCACCTTTCTTAAATAGAATTATGAGAGACTTTAAGACACAATATATACATATACATTTTTTTATGCATTTACATATGAAATTATCAATGTCCATCTATACTTCATAAATGTATGACATTTTGTTTCTTTTAAAACTAGTGAAATAAAATACTGTTTCTTCTCAAGAAAATGTTGTTGCAGGTTTTGGCAACTACAGTAGCAACATTCTCATTATCAAATAAAAATATAAATATAAACTGTTCACTATCTGGTAATAGGTTAAAACGTTCATGATTTGTCTTAAAAATCTACATATAATGGGCATTTTAACTATTTATCATGAGTTTATTACCAATCTAAACAAGGGTTCTCTCCCAACTTAGCAACTAAAAAATTACAAAATATAGCAACAACCAACCAGATGGTTTTGATGTGGTATTATTTTTTGAAAACTTTCACCATATACATTTACATTTTAAATGCTCACACAATATCGTGAAAACTGAAAGTTTTGAAACATCCTTTAAAATGTAATAAATTAAAGATG